TCGAAAACGTTATTTGCGACAAGAATACACACTATTTGTTAAGAAGCAACAGTTATAATATTTCTGTTTCTTGACGTCATTCTGGTGTTCTTCAATGTTGACCACTTCAAACCTCCCGCGTTCCTCGACATAGGAAAGTTTATTTTGAGTAATCGGGACATTAGGTTTTGACTTTGGATGCCAGTTTCACCGCGGATACATCGAATTCTTGTGTAGAATGCGTTGAAAGATTAATAAACATTGACAAGCTCTCTTAAACAACTACACGATTTTCAGATGTAGTCACCCACTCATCAAATATTTTACGCCGAGACGTGTAAATCAGCACCAGATCTCACGTTCTAGCGGAGGAGGAACCCCTCTACCTCCCGAGATACAACAAGCACTACACTTACGGAACTATTGAAAACTTGCAGTTGAGGAGTCGGACACAAACAAATCATTAAATCAACAGATCCTAGCAATCGCTCAGACATCTTTCAACTTTTATTGATCTTAATCTATCAAAACTTCCACAATTAAATGGAAACATAAAAAAAATTCGGTATTTGATACAACGCCACCAATAAGAACAAGATTTCATCGAAAGACATGTTCTCAAAGTGAGAATATTGTGTGTCATGTTCAGACATTTCCTACAAGCAAATTAGCCTAGCGTGTCCGTATGGGCACAGAAAATGACACTCGAGATATCAACAAAAATATATAAAATTATTAGAAAATTACTGAAGCGTATTTATTTTATTATTTAGGAAATGTATTACACTAATTATTAAAAAAAATCGTTGAACTATCTCAATTAAAACCAAAACTATTACAACCTGTGGGTACAAATAGCAACCAGCAAAACAACCTTAAAAACGAAGTATGACGAAGCCTAATAAAAAGTATTTCTCAGAATTTTAAAATGTAAATGCATGTTTATTTTTAATTAAAAAAATTGTTGTATTTAGTAAAAAATCACTGAAATACCTAAATTAAAAGAAACAAGTGGTGCTACAACTGCACGTACTTTCTCGGGATATTGTTAATGGCTATGTAAAATTATATTATGACAATGTCTGTCTTACACCTCAACTACAATCTGAAAAATCTTTAAACAAATGAAGAGTGAAAAATTTATTTCATTAATTCAAATGTTTAGACGAAAACAGCCATTGCATTCAGTGTACTCACGTTCTACGTAAATGCACCAACGATGCGCAATGCGTATTGTAGCCGTAAATAAAATTATTAGTTTATATTAACGAGAACGAAAGGCGGCCGTCGTAATTTACTTCTGTTATCAGTGCAGCGTTGCAACAATGGATTGCAACAAGCAACAATGACTGCTAATTTGTATGGAACACACATTTGGCGAATTAGCATTTCCTGATACCGCTAGACTGAAAATAAAAATGGATAGAAAACGATGCCACTGCAGTGCCTCTGACTGCGAGGTACTTGGGTTCAAATCTCGTCGACGGCAGGATTTTCGACACTAGTTCATAGCTAGGCCGGCTTTCATACTCTGCCTGGAGAATAATTCTAGCGGCCGTCTGCTCTGATCGGTAGTTTAGGCCACGGATCGCGCACGATCTTTCCTTCTTGCTTGTTCCATCTTCACCCTTACTTGTACACATGCAGGCACTACATTACCACACACGTCAGTAAACCACACACAGTAGAGAGTTAAGAGCTCGTCCAGGCCGGGATGGTACCCCTGCTGGTGGGAGATACTTGGTTGGGGAGAACCCCGCACGCCGACATGTATGTCGGCGCCAGGTGTCGCCATCCTGCGGGAAACATCGTTTCCATCTCCCGAGGAAAACATGAATTAAACTTACGGGACAATTTCAAAGAAAGATCCCTTTTTATTAATCCACTCCTTTATTTTAGAAGGTAATACATGTGTGAAACAGCATGAAATTGAGACCTAGTGAAAACAAAAAAATTATATATATACATATATATATACATATACATATATATATATATATATGTATATATATATATATATATATATATATGAGTTTATGTTAGGATTGAAATGACCAAGAATGAGAAAATATGATTTGTTAAATCTGTAACCTTTCTCATTATTCAAAACTGCAAATATTCTCCCGCAATATTAGTAATTTGGCTGTTCTGGCCCTTGCATAAACTCGCATAAAGCACGAACTTGTTTTCTTACAAAGTAATTTTGCTGTTCTAGAATTGTATAAACTCGAAAAAGCACAAAATTGTTATGTCACTCAGTAATTTTACTGTACTGTATCTTGTATCAACTCGCCTAAAGGACGAAGTTGTTATGCCACAAGAAAAAATTGCCGTTCTAGAATACTCTTGTATAAACTCGCATTAACAACGAAATTGTTTTGACACAAAGTAATTTTGCTATTTTGGTTCTTCTATAAACTTGCCTAAAGTACGAAGTTGTTATGCCACAAAGTAATTTTGCCGTTCTAGACCTGTGTAAACACAACTAAAGTACGAAGTTGTTATGCCACAAAGTAATTTTGCTGTTCTAGACTTATATAAACTCGAATAAGCACAAACTTGTTTTGTCATAAAGTAATTTTGCTGTTCTAGACTTGTATAAACTCTTAAAAAGCACAAAGTTGTTATGTCACTCAGTAATTTTACAGCAGTCGATCTTGTATAAACTCGCCTGATGTACGAAGTTGTTATGCCACAAAATAATTTTGCCGTTCTAGATTTTAGCATTAACCGCGAAATTGTTTTGACACAAAGTAATTTTGCTATATTGGTTCTTGTATAAACTCACATGAAGTACGAAGTTATTTTGCCACAAGGTAATTTAGTTGTCCTGGTCCTCGCGTAAACTCGCCCAAAGCACGGCGTTGTTTTGTCACCCGAAGGGCCCCGGGAAGGGAAGCTGATGGCTGCCCCTGATGATGTCGGCCGCCTTCTCCGCCACCATGTACGTGGGCAGCATGGTGTGCGCCGTGGGCATGTCGGGGAAGACACTGGCGTCCACCACCCGCAAGCGACCCACCCCACGCACGCGCAGGTCGGGCGTCACCACGGCGCCGTCGTCGCCGCCCATGCGGCAGCTGCAGCACGGGTGGTACATGTTGTGCGACGCCGTGCGCACAGCGCACTCCCAGTACTGCACCTTCGCCTTGTCCAACCCCTCGCACCCCGGCACGGCCGCGTCGTACACGCGCGCCCCCAGCCGCCGCATGGCGTCCGTGTCGAAAATCCGCGCGGCCCGCATCACCCCCTCGGCCAGCTCCCGCACGTCCGCGTCGTCCGTCAGCATGCGAGGGTCCACGTGCGGCGCGTCCCGCGAGCAGTTGCCCGTGAGCCGCACGAACCCGCGGCTGCGGGGCCGCATCAACAGCACCACGTACGATGACGTCAGCTTCCCTTGCAGGGGGGCGTAGAACTTTTCGTAAAACTCCGACGGGGTACCCAAAGCCTTGGAAGGTTCTCGATCGATTGTTTCTTCCGAGTAGATGTAGTAGGATTCAATGTTAGGCCAGGATGCTTCCGATGAGTTTCCCACATGAAAGAAACGAATGGATTCAATAAATGCCCAGGTTAGGGGTCCCGTGCAATTTTCGAAGTAGTCGAAGACGTATTTGGGGTCTGACGTAACTTTGGATCGCGATGGATAGGTATCTGGTTTGAAAATAATATGCAAGCCATAATAAGAGGGATGATCTTTTAGATTCTCGCCGACTGGTAGATCTTTAACAACGGGTATTCCAAATTTCTCCAGGTGCGCTTTCGGACCTATTCCCGATAACATTAGAATCACCGGTGACATGATAGAACCAGCACTAACGATCACTTCCCTAGTGGCGTAGACGCGTTGCTTTTCTCCGTCTCTCTCGTATTCCACCCCCACGGCAGTCATCCCTACTATAATCAAGCGCGTGACGAGGCTCCTTTTACGCACGAAGAGGTTCTTGCGGTCGCGGACGGGGAAGAGGTACCCTCGGTTTGCGCTCACGCGGCTACACTTGCTCTGGGTGAACTGGATGCGGGACACGCCCTCCTGGGTCTCCCCGTTGTAGTCCACGAGCGGGATCCCGAGCTCTTTGGCTGCTTCCAGGAACTCGTCCGTGCCGGGAACCTTGTACGGGGAGTAATTGATGGGGATGTAGCCCTCCGTTCCGCGGTACGAACTGTTCCGTAGTTCGGGGATTTGCACGTTCTCCACCTTCTTAAAGTAGGGCAGCACGTCGTCGTAGCCCCAGCCCGGGTTGCCCGCGTCGCGCCAGTGGTCGTAGTCCTGGCGGTTGCCGCGAACGGCGTTCAGGCCGTTGATGGTGGTGCAGCCGCCCATGACGTGCGCGCGGCGGTAGGGGCACGATCCGCCCGGCGCGCCCACGCACCCGCTGCTCGTGGGCCCCATCTCGAAGCCCCAGTCGTCCTGGATGGCGATGTCGCGCGCGAAATAGGGCACGTCCTGCGCCAGCGTCTCCTCGCCGCCGGCCTCCAGCAGCAGCACCGTCCAGCGCGAGCCCTCGCTCAGGCGGTTGGCCAGCACGCAGCCCGCCGCGCCCGCCCCCACCACCACGCACACGAAGTCGGAAGGACGAGCGCCCGCCGTGGTACGTCGGCACGGCTCGCGGAAACAAGCTTCGCGCTTTCGCGCCTCACCACGCGCGGCCAGCGCGTTCCAGCACCGTCTGCGCGCTGCGCGCACGCCACCAACGCCAACCACGCCGCAGCTGCAACGACCACCGCCAACACGCCACTCAGCGGCCCGCTCGAGCGGCTTTTGTTTGGAGCGCCTCACGCCGCCCCACGCACGCCCAGCACGCTCTGCGCACGCCAGCACGCTTTGCGCACGCCAGCCACGCCAAGCCACACCAGCCACGCCAGCCACCCGCTAACCACGCTAACCATGCCACCCCACGCCAAACCCACACCAGCCACGCCGGCAGGCTGCAACCGACACCGCACACGCACTCAGCGGCCGCTCGAGCGGCCCTTTGTTGAGCGCTCACGCCGCCTCACGCCACGCCAGGACGCGCTGCGCACCACGCTCTGCGCACGCCAGCACGCTCTGCGCACGCCAGCCACACCAGCCACGTCAGCCACGCCACCCACGCCAGCCACGCCACCCACGCCACCCACGCCAACCACGCCACCCACGCCACCCACGCCAGCCACACTAGCCACGCCAGCCACGCCGCAGCTGCAACCGACCACCGCCACACGCACTCAGCGCCGCTGTGTTATCACTGAAAGACTCGAAATACCTTGTTGCTTAAGTAGGGGTGACCATTCACACAAAATGAAATGCAGAGGGCAAAGAACAGAAGTAAGGCAATTTATTTTTGTGAGTAGTACTGTTGTTGACTGGAACAATTTATATGGAGAGGTGCTAGAGATCTTTCCCAGAAGCACGCGCCTTATGGATACAAATTTTCTATTATTATACATACGCAAGTTTTGAGTATAGTGATGTCCAGTAAAATTCAATGAACGTTGTAATTAACAATATTATTTATGTAAAAACGGATACTTTTTTAAATAATAATGAGTTATTTTTTAATATCTGCAAATTAGTTATGAATATCCTTATGACTTCAGCAGAGAAAAATACTTTAAGCGATAAAATAATTTACCCACTTTCCCATATTCACCCTCCTTGCCTTTCTTAAATATCTGCGTTTAAAAAGATTATCACAGAAATGCTTGCATATGCATGCCTATTCCCTATTGCTTAACAGAAAATGCAGGCTGTGACACTGTACTTCCAAAAGATAACTAATTTTAAATGGCGTGTTCTAAAATTAACTCTAAGTACTGCCAATGCGGTATATTATACATTCATGTTGTGAGTATGACTTTCAAACACACCCTATACTGGAGGTCTATAAAATTACATTATTCAGTTCTCAAAGTAAATTTGAACTAACTAACAAATGATTAATAAAAAGTCATGTATAATGTGAATAACTAAAAAACAAAAATTAAACTCACTGTTAACGTTCTTGAGGTTATTTGAAAATTTCGTCGTTATCTGAAAATTCGCCAAAACAGCACATGTTTTGATGCATTTCCACTCGCTGGGCGGTATTTTGCGAAATCAATTTTTGTCCCGTGAAAGAGAAAGACGTTTTCCAGCCCAAAAAGCGGAATTCCGCGCAATCTGGCAACTCTGGAACCCGGAAGCTGTAAGTCACCGCCGGACCTCTTTGACTATTCCCCGCATGAAATTAAGAGCAACAGTGTTTGAGAAATAATATGTTATTAATTAGAGCGGTGATTCACAAGAAAATTATTAGTTTTCATTATCGATTTTAATTACGATTTTCTCTTGGCTCGATAAGCAACTACGCACAATGTCTGTCATTGATAGTTATATCAGCTACTTTCTCTATTCGAGAAAACAAATTATAGCCGTGTTAAAAAAAAGTTGAAATCTATTAACCTACACTTCACGCAAAAGTTGTCGAAACTACTAGTATTTTTGAAAAAATTGACCTTACTTAAAGGTTGTTCTTCGAACAACGATATTGTTAAGAAAACATATTTCTTCTATATTAAAGAGAGACGCCCACAAAACATTGAACTTTAACTTTGAATGAAAACTAAGACTCAACAAAAAACAGATCTAAGCAGTTTTTAAAAGCGACCTTTGCTCTATTCGAGAGAAAAAGTTTCAGACTTCTTGTAAAGTACCCTTTACGTCAAAATGAAATGTTCGTTTTAAACTTGCAAGGTTTTGTGTTCGGGGAGATCGATTGGGGAATATTCAATTTGGATGATATCGTTTGAACAGTGAAGGCGTTAGCGTTGACTACAGAGAGATGGACACATAGACAGACATTTTGCCGTGAACAAATTTTTCAGCATCGAAGATCCACAAAACGTCGATTTTGAGAACACACAGTAATAGAGGAAGTTATTTACTACGAAAAGGACTAATATTTATTCACTTTTTCAATATCAAGGACCAAAAATTAGAGTTTTTCTGCCGTAAAATCGCCATTTTTTTTGCTTAGCATTAGAATACCTTCTCCTTATTACGTACGTAATTGTCGATAGAATTACTACGAGAAAGTAGAAAGGAACAGATATTATTTCCATTGAAACCTTTCTTTCTGAAATAGAAGCAAACAGATTCAGCAATTCATTAATTTGACTCTGGATTGAAAGACAAAGGGTTATTGGGTTAAAACTTCTGCGGAACCAAATTGTCTTTGTTTACGTATCTGACCTGCACAGTTATTGCGGGTTCGATTGCGAATATTATAATATTACATAAGAGATGAAAAGAATCCCGAAAAAAACGTTTTTCTGTAGCACCATTGGTTGCTAGTCGCATGATCTACCCTACCTGTGTGGATCTGTCTACTTGCTACTCTGTAGCAAGTAGACGGATCCAGAGAGATATGCGCGAGGGCAATCTGTTTTTGTGGCTTATGAACCTTTTATTAGAAATTGTAAGGAAAGATCCACGAATTAAAAGAAATTAATTGGCCTGGTTTGATTAAATTGGACTGGTACGAAATTACTTGAATGAAAAGAAATTGTTCACGCGTTGAGACAGCATTGTTACGAACACTAAATTTCATTGAACTGTTGAAAACCCATCTAATATTTCGATGAAGTTTTCTAGGAAATACATTTCAGATGCGTATTTTACTTACGACATAGGTAGAAAGCTTGAACTCACCATAAATTCCGAACATTTTCTAAATATGCTGCACGGAATGTTCTTTACATCGAATATTCATCTCCGGCAAGAGTAAATCTTCGGACTTGAGACTACGAATCGTGCATTGTATCCTAGAATGTCAAAAACATAAAAATAAATGTAAATAATAATTTAATAAGTACGTGTAATTGTTTTTTTCATTGTGAGTGCTCTAATATTCACTTAATTAATTGATTTAAATATTTATAGTTTTCTTTAAAATTAAAGATATTTTGGTAACGTAAAAACTTCAACTGATGTGAAGTAAAAAAATCATTGTATGCAAATGCCAGATTCAAAAAAGGTTAGATTCAAAAAACCTTTTCCTTCTCTTGTTATTCTCAAATAATATGATTTAAAAAATTAATTGTTTGGAAATAGAAGTTTTATGAAGTTTACATTTAACTCATGTCTGTAAGGAGTTAACCTTTCAGTTTCAGTAGAGAACTAAAAAATATTAAGGAGGGGGAAATTAAGATAGTAAAAATTCCGGAGTGAAATGGTCATCATACAAAATCAAAGTTTCGTGTGTATTCAGTTTTCACTAACTATTATTGTCATTATATTTTATTCCCAGACGTGGCAAAAATGAAACTGTAGCATTATGTAGTTGTGGCTTTTCAAACGAAGTGCCCGCGCGATGGTCACTTGGCTCGTTAGGCAATCTGGTACTGCACAGAACGAGCAATAATCGGCGCACCGGAGTGGCTCACACATGTCTCTCCTCTGCGGTCGGGAGTTTAGACCGTGTACTGACTGCGGTGGTGCCACTTTGGCAAAAGTACCTGCAGGGGGTAAACCCGCCAATTTGTGTAGATCGGCACAGGCCGCATCCATATTCCACAACAGACCGGGAGAGGTGGATCAGGGCATCAACTGATGTCACAGCAGCGCCTCTGACCGGGAGGTTCTCCTGTTCGAGCCCCGGCAGATTTTCGGAACCCCGACGGCAGGATTTTCGGCTTAAGACAAATAACTAGGTAAGGTTCTGTCGGTGTCTGAATGGATTCTAGCGGCCGGCTGCTCTGATCGGTAGGTTTACGTGGTTTCTCCGATCAACACCAGGTGAATGCCGGAGCAGTCCCCTAACAAGCCACGGACCGCGAGCCATCTTTCCGTCCTCTTTCATGTCTTATCCTCACCTCCTATTATACACTCACTAACATCCACAACACTATCACACATGTCGAGAGACTGGTCGGCAGCTTAGGCCTTGTCCCGGCTGAGGCTATGCCTCGCTGGCGTTGGCAAGATTATCGCCACACACGGCGAAATATTTGATCCATCCCTATAATGCATATCCATAATATGCATGTATGGATATAACCAATTAAATGAACTGGAAATCAATATTGAACTAATGTTAATTATTGCATATTCACTGAAAATATATTATCGTGAATATTCAATATTTTATTAAAACTAAAATTTGATTTTTTAGATTATAATGTTTGCAGCTGTAAATATTTCAAATTATAACTTTTTGGATTTGAACAATGATCAAAACTGGTGCTGTGGTCAATAAAGTTACGTCCTTTTTAATATATTACCATCTAAATTGAGTGGCGAATTTTGGTATGAGACAAGAAATATTATTAAAGGTAGAACGAACATTCTCCTACCAAAGGCAAGTGAACAGTAGCTATTTCATAAATACTGAATACAAAGGTACACAGGGCGAGTGTTATGCGAGTATTCTACCTTACCTTTGAAAAATAATTGTGGAGAAGAGAAGTTTCGAAATGAGGATTGGAAACTTTCTCGTGCTTGTTTATATATCGGACTCAAAACAATTTATCTTATCGTCGTAAGTACTGAAACATTTTTTATCAATTTTAAATTAGTATCTTGACAGCAAATGTCATTCATGTAGAAATGAAAAATTTAGTGAAAGTGAATATTCCTGGAATTTTCTATGCGAATACTATCGTGTCGATACTCTTTTGAATATGAAGTTGGTAATAAATAACGAAGGGGATTAGTATCACTATTTTCAGCTGCCCCACTACGCAACGCAATAAAAAATGGTGGTGCTGCAGAATGGCACAGTGAAACACACTTCTCGTAATAGTTTTCTATTTCATTTGGTCTCGGCTAGCTATTTGGATTAGACACAGACTCTTGTCAGCTGTCATCTATCGCCGCCCAAAGTACATTTTTTTGACATTTTCTTACTTTTCGGTTTTCTAACAGTAGAACGGAAATATTATTTTAGAAATATTAAAGAAGAGCAAAACCTCGTCCCAAATGGCAATTTTCTTTAAACATTAGGAGTCTTTTTAAGAAAATGGTGCTTTAGCGCTACTGATAATTCGAAATTTGAAGCTCTTTTTCACATATAATTTATAAGTTTTCGAAAAACCTTTATTAGAAGTCATTTGAAGCACCTTAACTCACAAATACAATAGTGTTTACAAATGACTGGAAATGTGCATATTAACGGCGTGAGAGATCTTCGGCGACGTCTCGAGAGAAGACCGATCAACTGGGGAAAACCCATTTTGGAAACAATCATTATGGTTTAGGTGCTTGTGATCACAGACTGACGGGCACACGAACGAACGTTTTGGTGTCAACTGATTTTTCGGCATCAAGGACCCACAAAACAGTCTTTCAGGCTACACCACGTGTTAGAGGATATTCCCTTTAATTAAGCAACTTGATTTATCGACTTTTTCGTTGGTTTTCGACTGGCCTTGGCAATTATCTTTTTTCTGCCGATAGTCTGCCGTTTTTTTTGCGCAGCATTACATAACTTTCCCTGTCGTAAGTATACAGGAAAGTAAAAATAAATGAATTCTTCTCTTTCTTTGAGATGACCAAATAAATAAATAAATAAATAAATAAATAAATAAATAAATAAATAAATAAATAAATAAATAAAATAAATAAATACGCTTTTGAAAGCTTAATCCACAAACTCGTAGTATTGCCAGCATCTTGAGACCGTAGAAGAGTACGGGTACAACGGCACACATATTCTCAATTATGTGTGTTACCACTACAATGTCTCAGGCCGGAACTCCATGGTTTCTAGTCTCTTACTGGCTTACTTGCAACACAATTTTAATAAATATTATTGTTGGCAATGACGACTCTCAATTATTTCATTGTAAATGCCAATGAAAACTCACCACAATACCAATATTTGCAACTCTTGCTACTGATTGAGTGAAATGCTGCCTGGAGGAGGATTCTAGAGACCGGATGCTCACAGCAGTAGTTTTCCGTGTTTTTTCTGATCAATACCAGGTGAATATCGGAACAATATGTTTTTAAACACCCTAGGAACCGCCCGAATTATTTTTCCTTCATCTTTACACCCTTTCTCTCCTCTTACACAATCTAGTCTAGTCGAATGGTGCTCAGAGAGAGCAAATATTGGAAAGTGTAGTTTTGATATTTGGTTTCTAAATGGTTCTGGGGACGCTGAACACTAATATCAGTATTACCAACAAGGATTTTGCCTGGAAACACTTTTTAAGGAAACTAGTTGTGTTGTAACCCCATTAACATTCTCGCACGTGGTAACAGTTGGCGGTTATTATAATACCTGAGTTTCCCTCCACATTTAACTCATCTGAGTCATAACTTGTTCAACGCAAATTGTGGAACATTGAGTGCGTAAATTAATTATTTTAGAGCTAACCATTGACACGAAAATGACAATCAAATGGGTATTTTAGCCTTGAAAAATTAGAAGTCAACGAGACGACCCACCGGCGGCGGTGTCTATCGCTACTGCCAGTTGCGCAATAGACAATTAGTTTGGCTTACATTTCACAAGCCAGTAATTCTGATATCCCTGGCAAATGGTTCATAACATATTAGTAATTATTACATTTTTTTAATATATTAGTAATAAATTCAAATAAAATTAATAAATACTATACTATTGTTATCTTCATAGAGTAATTATATGAAACAGCTCGATTTAACGTGAATTCAACGTCACTCTCTAACATTATTTGCAATTCTAAGTGCCCAATACGTTTTCCCATTTAGGAAAATTCTCTCAAATATATCGTCTTTCTCCTAAGAACTACTCATATTTCAAACGGTTACGTAATATTATAATACCACGATTTCTGTTCATTTCAGCCATCCCTTGTAACTCATTACAAATCGTAGACCATTCTGTGGGAAAACTAATTCATTTAAATCGAATACATCAACACAAAATCCACAACTAAAAATGCGTGTCAAAGTTTTTACATTTCCCAACAATGAGAAAGTATTATCATAATTTCAAATTTCGTGATTCGGCGAGAAGTACTCTCATCTGATATTCCCTGAAAGATTCTAGCTAAAGAAATTCGAACTTGCAATTTTGTAAATTTGCACAATTTCTCTAAATATCTCATATTTAAAAAATTACATGGTATTTTCTAAAGAAGTTATTTTTGGAACAGATTTCATTGAACAAAAAATTTCAAATTTGTACTTTTGCAATTTAATTTTTTTGTGGTTTTCAATTTTCGAAAATGCAGAGTTGGCCAAAAAGGGGTTCAGCACCACTTTCTCTGCTGTTCAATACATACAAGAAAAAAAATTAAAGAAAAAATTGAACTATTATGGTTTATCTTTGTTATCATAGGAGGCGATATGGGTGGCTCTATTGTATTGCCCATACTTGTACCTGTCTGTGACTTGCATGATACGTGTTGCTCCGAGACAGGATATTGAGCTTTGCCATCATCAACATATTCACCGTTCATCTTCACATCAAGAGAAGCTGGATATAGTATTCCTCCTTTATGTATAATGTGCTGCAAATAATGTAGCAGTTAAATTTATTCATGTTTGTTTCATTCGTAAAAGTTACAAATTACTACTGTTCCTAGCTATCGAAATACGTAAATGCAGATAACACCACAGATGCAGCGTTTGAATTGGTTGACTTGGACTTTTTCAAGTTATAACAATCATATATTTTAATATTTCGTATTTATTTCGAATAATAAGAGAAGGTATATGCTGTTTTTGTAGTTTTAGTTAAACTAGCGAGCAGACACATTTTTTCTAACATGATCCTCTTCGCTTGGATCGGAAATTTTTTAGACTGAACTCTATTACTCAAAGAATTCCGATTGTTTGTCTAGAGTTCTCTATCAAATGCCCAAAATTCCAAATTCCCCGTCATCCAAGGAAGAAACGCCCTCCGCACATCCTGAAACTCCCCCTCCCATAACCTAGGACAGAGGGCGAACTAAATAAGAACTAACGACAAATACGTTACAATGACTGACGCACTACACAAAGACTAACCCGACCAAATAGTCTCTTCCCTTCCTACATCCCATCCCATTCACCGCCTATATCCTTCCCTCCTCTCTTCCCTCCATCGTTAAGCACCCTGACAAAATAACCCCTAAACGAAATAACCCATCACTCCCACTACCCTGACTACCATTCTCAATCCCAGTCCCAGTCCCATTCCCAGTCCTACATAATCAACCTGAACGAAGAGTCACGAAATAGAGACATGCGTATTAAAGATAAACACCTTGCGTTCTGTTCTGTTACGATTTCGAGAGCATATGATTACGTAGTAAATAACATTCTTTAACACGTGCAGAAAGCGTCCAACTTTTGTAGTTACTTATTTCCGAAAAATCGTTTGAAGGCAAAACGTATGTGTGGCCGTTTATCAGTGGTAAACGCAAACACCTGAACCAGTAAATCGATATTCCTAAAATTGATTCTCTTTCTACCCATCTGAACATTTTCGAGGTGGAATCAATTTAAACGGTATTTGCATTTTTTGAGGCCTAAGCATTTTCAAAATTTTCTCAAACGTGATTCCAAATTTTTTATTAAATTTCTTCCTCAGATAATTAAAAATGCTATTGGCCTTATTTCTGTTAAAATCGCTAAATTGTTTGAAAATTTTAAAATTTCTAAATTTGTTTGGTGTCTTCCTACAACTACAATACTGAAGACAGATTTTTTCCTTAATGAAATCTATTCTTCAAAGAGATTTTAATTATATCATGCATATTTTTTCTCAAAATAAATTATTCTAAGACAAAAATAAGAATTACATAATCCATTTAGTGCTTACTAAAAATTTAACTCAAAAGTTTCGTTAAAAACCAAACTTGCAAAATTTGAAAATTTCAGTTCTGACTTACGAATTCCGATTGAGAACGAAGAAGTTTTAAAAAATCAACTCAAATTCACATAAGCTACTCACTGGTGATAAGTGTTATTACAATCACACTAAAAATGCATTTGTGCGGACAGCCACAAGTGTGCTTACACTCGGGGCATGCACTGCATGTTAGAAGTTCAATTTGTAGCACTAGTGCTAAAAGAGAGACGATGCTCAAATGTTCAGATAAAACTGAATGGAACATAGCAAAATCGTTCCGTTTGACCAGCTACAACTGATATTAATGTAACGTACTACTCAATTAATTGATTTATATACTGAAATTTAAAATAAAAGGAAGATCAGTTAGGCAGTCTAAAAATACTGTGTGACACACGTAACAAAAGTGCTTGTAAATTCCGCAACTCAGCTACTTCGTGTCACAACATTTCTTACTGGCAAATTTAAATTTCATTTTAACCACACGTATCAAAAATAACTATTTTTGTCTGTCAGTAGATTTAAAGGTTCTTCTTGACCGAGGTACTAGGTGGACTGACGAACAAGTGTTTACCCTACATACCTAGTATAGTTTTTGTGTACATTGCGTGAAAGTAGTTCTCATTTCATGATTGTTTGACGGAATAGATGGGACACACTTAAAGCTTGCGTGAACATTTTTATGGGAGATATCGAAAACCCTGGCAGGATCATTTTACATATTTTACCGTATGATGATAAGATATTGTTATCAGTCTCTTTAACAAGGTACATATTGTATTTAGAACGGCGTGGTAATACATTATCCCGTTTTAGGACTTTTCTTCAGGTAAATATGTCTCCTATACGTTTATTACATTAAATATTGGTACGTTTAAGACATGTAATTGTAGAGTGATTCAATGCCACTTTAGTCCAGGCCCAAGAAAAAAATTTTAATTTTTTTGTCTACAGTTCTATATGTTTTGGGGGGTGCAAATTCAAATTTAAGGTTTGCAACCTTGAGAAAGGTCGGTTACCGACAAAACTGCAAAACACCCTAATACTTTAGCACTTTTTGTTTCTTGCTTATACCTCCAAAACTATGTGTTCCACCGAAACAGGCTCTATTTACAAAATTAAAGCTAGTAAAATTTACTATAAAATGTATATACTAGTCGAGCACCGTTACATACATAACTAACACGTTAAACTCTTGAAATTTTCATTTAGGAGGTTGGGCCAGAATTTATTAAATACATATTTTTTATTTTTAATTTTGAGATTTATTGGTGTAAATCTACCACAAACAACGTTCCGTTGTTTTATTTGGTTTCAGTATGACGTCTAAAATGAATGGAATTGTCAATACATCATCTTAAAAAATATAAAGACAAAAATAAAATATCACATTAAATATACACAAAAAGAGAAAAATGAAGAACTCGTAACAATATTATTATACAGAGTGAGGAATACAAGTAGAATGTGTACCTAGAAATGCACCAAGTACAGGCACATACTTACCAGTACATTTGAAATATAAAGTGTATAATATGTGTATACTTGTAGTTTTGGTCCATCTTAAGAGAGCTATGAGGAGAGCTATCAATGAGGTCCATCTTAAGAGAGCTATCAATGAGGAGAGTTAATATTTAAAGAAGAAATTAAAAAATAAAAGAACTAATAAACTAAAAAACTAATAAGCTAAACAACTAATAAGCTAAAAAACGAATAAACTTAAAAAAACAGTTCCATGATGGAACTATGCGAATCTCGGACAGTTTAAACATGTCTGTTTTTGGAATACGAGTTCCTGCTCAGGTTAGAAATTGCTACGTCACTGGGACTGCAAGAACAGCAGAGAGGGGATAATTGATAAAAAAAGTGTATCATGAAATGTAGAGATTCTATAGGTACCTGGTATTACATTTTTGTTCTGCTGCATTAGGTCATTTATGGCAGTAATCTTCAAGAAAAAATAAAACGACAAACAGAATGTATATTTCTAAACTACTGATTGATAATAAGTTGGATTTTTTGCCTATAATAGACAATGAACAGCAACTAGATTGTTAAGCGCGTTGTATTAAAGGCGAGGTGCTTACCGATTCGATGTCCCCACGCACGCACGCACATACACACACACACACACACTCACGCTCACACACGTATACACACACACACACACAACGAAGTAAGGCTCAGTTCAATGTAGCCTTGGAGTCCGACGTTGCAGTTAGGCGCCTTCATCAACTACCTTCCTTTCGCACCCATCACTTGGACTCCATGATGCAAAAACACTCAATAGATAATGTTAGCATAAGAATCAAGTCAAAATCAAATACAATATCACTGACAATTGACAATATCTTCTTTTTATTATCCCTAGATCATGGAAAGAATAGGGCACATTCAGGACATACTGGACATGGCATTACAAAATTTCTGATTTGACAAGGCTGTATAATAGAAGAAATTTACCATTGAATAACTTTCGCTCGGAACTTGCCTCTAAAGAAAAACAGCAAAAAAGCAAACTGATAACAATTTACGATATTGTACCCACTTTATAATTAAATGCTGACTTTGGGGTAACGAAAATCAGTAATTACGAGAATACCTAAATCATAATGAACTAAGTATCAACTGAAGTTTCAAATTAATTCTTAATTATGTGATACTTTAACACAAATTAGCATCCTGTGGCAGCCTAGTGTGAAGAAGTCGACTAAGCGCTCACCTCTCCGACACCGAAAGGGCGGCAGCTCCACACTTGGGTCACGTCAAGTGCCATCTCAGACGGGCTGGCAAGCCAATAAATCTCTCTCGGTTAGCTCTACTCCTACTTCCTCTCTTCGTCATACCTCTAGCCTCACGCTCAATTACGGGCGGGAAGCACTATAGCCTTCTGGTGGCAGCCTGGGTCAACTAAAACACTTGGTGGCGAACTCAATTAGTACACGTGTATTACCAATTAACAAAATACTTAAAAACAAAATAAAAAAAACAGAATGCTAAATTTAAAACCATAAATACAAGATCTCAAGAAAACTACCAGTACTGAAAAGTTTATACAAAACTACAGAATAAATAACATTGAAATCGAAACAAGCTGGAGGACCCGTCACGATGGCGCTCAAAGTGGTGATTTGAATTCTGACTCTGTCTATCGTGATATCAGGTAAAGATCATCAGACTCAAGGAGTGGAAAAATTCTGGAAGTAGGTCTATGAAGCAGTCTTCAGTTTAATTACCCTAATGCTGTCTCATTATGATTTCATTAATACGAGCTAACGGACACAGAATTGGGGATAAACATCGTGACGTTAGATTTACCAATTGCCCAACATTAATGTTTAGTCTACACGTTCTCCATTTCCCGCGTGACTAAATAACACTAATAAATTTTCCATAGTCCATTTTTTCCAGAAATACCACTTTTGAGTCTCTTATGACGGCGTGCATGGATGTCATGCTTAATGATCTTTGAAGTGGGAGTGGCGTCTCAATAGAAATGAGTGGGCGCCCAATAAGTAAAGGACTGGGAGTAAATGTGTCAAAGTCCTCAGACCAAAAAACCCTGAGACTGATCGATAATTATTTATTGCTTCAATTTCAGTTAACACTGTAGAAAATATTTCATAATCAAGAACACTGGTCGCCGTACATGAAGCTTTGAGCATCCATACCGAGTTCAATCCTACTGTGAGATATCAAGAATCCAAGACAATGTTTTTTTCAACTCTTAATATTTGTTTATTATCTATAAATATAAATTTCTATTAAATACGAAACACTTTAATAAAACTGAACAAGAAAAATTAAATTGAAATAGAATTGAACATTAGAAAACATTTGAAATATACGTTGTTAGTAACAAATTGTAAATGTAAGAACAGATTTTACATCAGACTGGTCAATGAGAAGGATGGCACTTTTCTGTCATCAACTTCTTATTTACGTTGGGAGAGTAGGTAGTGAGAGCCATTTGGACAATGTTGTCACAGCGTGAGTAAATAACTGCGCGGGAGTATGCAGAAAATGTTTTCGCGAATCATCTCTGTGAGCTCTGCAGAACACGTTCAGGTCAGCCAACCTTGAGCATGACCACGATCTATCGAAAATTGCTCCGTGAGCTACTAGTAGCTCGTTTTCGACGGTTAGGTAATCACTGATCTACAGTCTTCATTTTGGTTGTTTTATACTGAGCGAACCATGCGCTTCCAGGCAACTCCTTGACGTGCGAGAGGAGGAATAAATTTCGCCTTGCTAAATGCATGAGTCACATTTCTTTTTTATTCATCTCACTATCTGCGTTTGAGCGGATTTTAAGGTTTCAGCGTTATACAAGTACAAACTCTGAAGCTTACCTCGCCTGGCAATTCAACGTTTTATAGCTAATAAAACAGCATTAGCACTATAGGATACACCCAACTCTAGATGCAAGGCACTACTTACCATATGGGTTAAAATAAGATTATGAACCTTGTCCAAATTCGCTGATTTTTTATAAAGTTTGATAAAAGTAAGACCTGCACAGTGTAGCCCAGTAGGAAGAAATGGAGCAGGGTCCGTAACTGCAACGGGGAGCTATGATTTGCTCAGCTGTAATTAAACCCGATTGATCGTGATTCCGGTCACTTCAACTACTAGAACCATCAGTCCCGTAAATGTAGTGCATGCTTTTGCCCGAGAAGTAGAGGTGGTCTTTCCCACGCTGTATGGTGAGAGCCGACCTACCGTAGGCTAAAGGAGGTTTCCCCAACCAGGTATCTCCCACCAGCGGGGCACCGAGCCGGGGCAAATCCCTAAGCTCCCAAACGGTCTTCCGACATGTGTGAAAAGGGTGAGGACCGGTCAAGGAAGAGGAAGGTAAGATCGCGCGCGGTGCGTGGCCTGTTTGTTAGCCCCCCCCCTCTACGCTACGCCAATTCTTTACTCCATTTCAACTATGTTGTTGTTGCTATGTTGCCGTTTTAGTATTATTAATTAAGTTTGCACTCAGTTCGGCGTAAAGTTAAATTTAAGGAATTTTTAAAGGATTTGTCACAAGTGCAATTCTGACTTTCGAATCAAGCAAATATGAGTTGTTACCAGTAACTGCATGAACTACGGCTGCATATGCAACCTTGCTCGCATCGCAACACACATTCCATTCGTCTGGTGCTGCCATCTTTATCGGCGGTTGACTCATAGCAAAACTTCCCGACGCAGTGTTCGTCCGACTACGTGAAGACAGCAGTCGGTTCTCTCCGCTTAGCGCTGCAAGACGTCTGTAGTCTTAAGTGGGTTTTCCCGTGTGGCTGCAGAAAATCTCACATTGGGAGTTAAATGAATTGCCGAACGAACGAATGGTCTACGGGTGTGAAGAATGATGAATGCAGCTGAGAAGTGAGGGCATTCAGAAAACGTGTCACACCAGGAAAAGAAACGATGTGGATGTTGAACGCCTTCCGGACGAGTGTGCAATGAGTAGGAGTGACGATTCAAAAACGAGATGCGTTTGTCACTGCTGGAAATAGAAACTTCATGTTTATCGTGGGCGGGGCTGCTGTTGCCATGTACGCGTCTCGCAGTTCACGTACACGTGTACCGTTAAGGAGGAGTATGGAGCTGCGCGGAACTCCAATGTGGGCCAGTGAGGTTAGTAGTCACTGATGAATATTACGCTTGGTTGTTTACATCGGGCTCATTTTAAGACTGAACAAAGATTAATAAATATTGTACCCATACGAGTGATATAATATTATATATTTGTTACAAATAGTGCAATATGTGCTATTGTCGCACTACCAGATTTTATAAATGTTTGACGATGTTAACGAGAAATATATTTTTATTATCGCGTCATTACATTTTCTTTCAACGTTTTGCACCAATTAATATTTTCTGTACTTAAACGTTTAAATCATATTTTCGTTAAACTTTCACTCCTAATTAAAGACATCCAAAAATTTCCTTTACTTTCGATAATTTTAACTTTCTAAGAATGGCAATCATATATCTTCCTCGCTCTGTCGAGAGCGAAACGGAAAAGAAAGATTATTCACAGGATGCCAAGACAGGATGTTTGATAATTCTGTTGCAAGAAGTAGTTAGGAAAAGTTTGCATATCTCTTTCAGTATCAAGAACGAAGAAATCTCGTCTTTCTGTGCCACTGCTAAACGTGTGCCCAAAACGTGATTGGAAAGTACGTATAATAATCCGTAAATAGTTTTTCGTACTCAAGACATACTCTGTGGTAATATATTAAAAGTATCGAAGTAATTAAGTGTGCTTCCAGTTTATAAAATTAGTATTTCGAGTACTAAAGAAAACAATGCAATTTCTCTGAATAATTATTGTAAAATCATCCCATGTAATGTAAGATATTTCTTATTCTACATCTGGCAATCAAGAAGCAATGGTGGCATTTGTTAAATAGTTCTATAATGTCGTGTGGTCACGAGTGTGTTCAAAGTAAGTACAGTTGATATTGTATTAACGTAAAAATCTCGATAAACATTTCATTTGAAAATTTAATATGAATTTTGTTCTTCTGCTACAGGTCTGACGCAACAATCTCGTGAATTCTCAAGCCATCTTAATGATTTTGTGTACTTATGGGTAAAATTGATTGTCTTAGTCTCTCTGTGCAATGCAAATGGGAACAATGAAGTTTGGTTTTACTATCATCAGCTTCGTAATTTTTCTGACGCTTATCACAAACTCGTGCACAAGCATCAATCGACCAAACCTCACCTGTGCAGAAACTTTAAGATCTCATCTTGTTCCTATGCCAATGAACTGTGTGGATACAAGTTCTGAAAGTTACATATACAATTGCACGAAAGTTTATCAGTCTCAGAGACATGTGAAGTGGATGATAGAAATAATGCTAATGGTTAAACTGGGTAACTACGGGGCGGACGAACCATATGAAGAAAAAGAAAATTGTATTGGAATAAATGTTTGGAAAGGAAAATCTGCTGACGCAGGAAGCCATTTCATAATGAATTTGTCACCTTCTAAGATAATTGGAACTGTAAATCTGAAGAGGTGTGGAACTATAAGGTGAGAAATTTTCTATTATTTAAAATAAACAGTGAATTCTATTTAATAGTTTCACTATTGTGCACATGTTGTAGGTTTTTGCAAGAATTATAAATTCTTAAAAGTGTTTAACGTACCTCTTGCAATTTGTGCAACTAATTTCGTTTCAAACTTTAAATTGAGTCTACCATGATCTTTTACTTTTTTTATACGTACTTATATACGGAGTAATACACGTAGTACTATAAATTTCGAGGTTTCAGCGAAAATACTTATTTTGGGATCCCCTGATACAGAAAACATTTTTTTTCAAAACGTCCGTAAGTACGCGAGAAATACTAGCGCCTAAAATATTCGTACAATTCTTTCCAAAGTGAAAAACAAACAAACTTGTCAATCTGACATCACTCAAAGCACTGCAATTTTGAAAGACATTCAATAATTTTCGGGGGTACTTTGCATGAAGTTCCTAGGATATTTTAAAAATTTTCTCAAAAATGGCTTCAAATACTTTCTTTAAATTTCTTGTCAGAATACAGTAAAATACACATAAAAGATGGCATTAGTCCGATTTTCACTGTCAACTCTGAATTTTAGAAAATTGCAAACTTTTGCAAAGTTTTGCTACAACTATAAAATTGTAGACTGGGGGTTTCTTTCCTTCAAATGACATTTCTTATCCATAATTAGTTCTTTTTTTAAGGTCATGTACATTTTTTTAGAAAATTGTAGCAGTTTTCGAGCAATAATGTATGAAATATATGCAATATTGAAAAATATCAAAAAATAAGGATTTCTCAAATACGGTAACAAATTTTTACTTTAAACATTTCGAAGGTATAGTGCTAAATGTAGTGTATACGAGTAAAATGACATAAACGCCTATTTCTCTATTCTTTTGTTTGTTAAGAAAATACAATGTTTTATTTACCTAACGCGTCGCGTCGTTAATATTTACATAACCGGCGATTTGTATACATGATTGAATTTATAAGTACATATGTTTTAAAGATGTCTTATACATTTTTTTGAAAACTCTTGAAGTTTTCTGAGAAAAGAACTCAATGTTCCGATTTTTCAGAAACGCTCAAACGCCGTATTCCTGAAAACGGTTCCACAATTTTTCTTTAAATGTTTTGAATTGACTGAGCTCAATGAAGTTAGAAACATGACATCATAAGCACTTTAATGCTTTCTTTAAAAAAAAATACAGAAATATATTGATTTTGTATAATTATCTTTCATGCCGTCACTTTGGTCTGAAAAATATTCAATTTATGGATATCTGATAGTTATTATAGAATTTTTTAATGCTTTTTTTCACTGAAAATAACAAGCACGTAAAACATCGATCACACAATATCGATGTTAAATACATCGATAATTTCATAAAAAAACTTGGGCGGAATATATTCCTGAGGGGAAAAAGCTTCCAAAAAGGTGACAATATGGTGCCAATTAAGCAGTGTGTAATTTTATTGTTTGCCGAAGATTCGGTCCTCGTTCGCTCAACGAAGCGCTGACTTAACTCCCGTGCTTATATACGGGAACTATCGCTGCGCATAATTTACCTTAAAGAAAATACTGGTGTCTATATCGCAGCGGGCAAACATCAGGTCTAAGAACCTGTTCAAAGAACTAGTCGACTCGGTGGTGATTAGAGCAACTGGATGTAAACCAGGAGACACGGGTTCGAATCCCGGTCGGGTTCGAATCCCGGTCGCGATTGAATCCCGGTCGCGATTGAATCCCGGTCGCGATTGAATCCCGGTCGCGATTGACTCCCGTTCAATTCTTGAACAAATTTAATCACAGCCATAATGTTGCCCGGAGGGCAATCGATGATCACTGACTGGAAGCGTTGCTGTCGACCAGGCCGCGCAGCTGCGCGTTCGAAGTGAAGGTGCTGCCGGCGCTGCTGGCGCTGCCGCAGTTCCAGTTCGCACCGGACGAGCCGCCGTTCTGGAACTTCTCGTCGCCGCTGTTCCGCTTCGACGTGGGCTGGCTGTACTGCCTGGAGGCGGCGTCGGGCCGCGGCCCGCCCGCTCACTGGCCGGCGGCGCTGCCCGGGCTGGCGGGCGCGTCCGTCGCCTGTGTGGTGCTGGACGGGGTCTTCGGCGCCGACGCGCTGGGGCCGCTGCCCAGCCTCAGCCGCCTGCCGCTGCTCGAGAACGTCGTCATCAGGAACAGCCCCATGCGCGGGTTTCCTCCGGGTGAGTGCTTCCCGCTGCTGCACTTTCTCATAATAGACGAAGACACGATTATCATTTGCCATTGGTTCTGATACTAGTGGTGCTAAAACAGCTCGTACTTTCTCGCCCGCATTTTTACGTGAAAAGTTCTCAAATTTTCGAAAAATTTTACATGACCCTATTTCAAAATTTATCTTTGGGAAACATATTTTATTAATGGAAAAAATACCTATCCTATATGGTTGTAGGAAGACGCCGAAAAACGTTTGAAGTTTTGCAAGTTTCGAAAAATCAGTTTTTTTACAAACTTCAAACCTACACCATTGTATTAGACATCCGTCACACTATTCAACAACGAAATTTAATTATGACTTCATGTAAAGTACCCCCCAAAATTAAAATATAGGAGCCGTCACATTAGCTTGATCGTCCGGGGAATATTCATTTTGGATAAAATCTGCTGAACGGTTATGCCGCCTGCGTTGTTCACACACGGAAAGACTGACATGTTTTGTCGCCATTCGATTTTTTGGTAGTAAGGACTCACAAAACATGGACTAACTAAACCACGTGTTTGGATGATTTGTTTTCGGAATTTAGCAACTGGATTTATTCACTTTTTAGTTTCCAGGGTCCTGCACTAAGTTTTTCTGCTGAATATTCGCAGCAATATATAACTTTCTCTCTACGCCGTAGCAAAAAAGTAAAAGCGGGGCATGACTTGAATATTGACGTGTCCCACTGTCCCGATAGATTTTTCTTAGTTGCTGTTAAATGTCCTGCAGTTTTATACTGTTATAATTCGAAATAGTCCTACTAAAAACAGTTTGCGAACTATTTGTGAACTACATCACACAACTATGCGCTATGTAAGAGAACGCAAGTAGCTAATTCATTTTTTAAGCAATTATTGTTATTTTTGTTTTTTTACGCCACAATCTAGGAGCTGAAAAATAAATAAACAAATTGAAATAAAATATGCAATGTTTAAAAAAGTGCTTTATAGGCATACATACACGTTTCAATGACTTAACAAGGTGATAATTTTGACATTTAAAAGTTCCGCTAATATAGTGACGCATTCCGGTGCCTGAAGCTCATTAGCTGAAGTCTGATACGACAAGTAAGAGCCCGCCCATCTATTTTCTTCAGTTTCTTCTTGAGTGCATTGACGAGCGCTGATAATGATGCGAACCGCTTAATAAACTTAACGTAGTAGTTCGCGTTACTCAGAAGCGATTGCAGTTGCTTGACATTAACTGGTGTTGGTAACTTGATTATCAGCTGGACATTGTCTAATGTGTTACTTCTCCTTCATTGTCAATCACGTGTCCTAGGCACTTTATTTGCTTTTTGAAAAATGCATGACTGACCATTCACTGAAGATCACCTGCTTGACTGTTTCTTCAACCAACATCTTTTTTAAATGTTAATTTTCTTACTCCTTGAATGCCAACGGCACTGCCCCAGCCTTTCAGAATTTTAAATGTACGTACAGTTTCAGCTGTACGAGCGCCTTCTCGCCGCTCGAGTCAGCTGTGGAGGAAAGATCTCTGTGTATTTGTTTTTTCACTCATTAATTCAATGAAAAAGGACTTCCTCTGATAAGACATTTATTTGGTCTGGCACCGTGCCCCCGAACATGTGAAATGAATCCAATCCCAAAACAGTCTTGTCTAACCTGCTCATTACCCATACCTTGATTTGTCTTACAATTCCTTTGTATATGAGGCTGGTATTTCCACATACCCATTAGTAGTTATCTACTTCTTGTCGAACGTTTCCAGCTCTGTTGCCTTGCAATATAATGGATTTTTCAATCCTCTGAAATTCTCTTGAGGTTATTATTCAAATTAAGCGAATCCTCTGATATATAATTAATATATTATATAATCTTCTTTTGTTTCAGGTTATTTTGATAAATCTGAGAAAATAAAGTCACTGGTTATAAAACATAGCGTTTTCCGTAAAATACCGTCGGAAATTACAGTTCTGAAGAAATTACGGTTATTTTCGCTTGAATCGATAGTACAAAATTTCACCTTCGATCCAAACATACTCTCAGCTTTCACAAATTTGTGGACATTAAACCTAGCAGGCACACGCATAGAACACTGGCCAGGAAACATCCCAAAACTGCAAAAATTGAGCATTTTGGATTTGAATAGATGTCAAATGAAAACATTCTCTGCAGCAACACCAAATCTTCCCGCGTTGAAATATTTAAGTCTGAAACAAAACCTGATATCGTTCCTTGATCCCGATGCATTTGCGGGGATTCCAAATATAAGAGCCATATTTCTAAACCAAAATTTTATAAATATTTTGCCTCCCGAGATTTTCGTTGGCCTGTATCGTCTCCATACGCTTGATCTCACCTCTAATAGATTAACTGAGTGGCCTCAATTGCCACCTAATGATTTTTTGAAATTAAATTTATCTGCTAACAATATTTCAAAATTAATTAATTTAGGATGTCAGGTGAGAAGTATAGACTTTTTGGATTTCTCGTCTACTAATTTATCACAATGGGACGACCCCAAGGTATTCCTCGCGGAGGAGAATTGTACAAAAGCGTTTCCTGTGAGGAGTCGTTGGTCGAAGTTGGCGCCGTCGAAGTTGGCGCCGTCGCCGCCGGCCGCCCCGCGCGCCTGGGTCTCCCGCGTGAACCTGTCGTCCAACAGCATCGCCGTCTTCTCGGCCGCCATGCTGCGCTCGCTGGACGCGCTCGCGTGGGCGCAGCTGGGCGGCAACGCCGTGGACTGCGGCGCGTGTGCGTCGTCGGCGCTGCAGGGCTGGCTGCGCTCGGCGCGCGCGCAGGCGGTGGCGGCGGGCGGGCCGGGCGGCGTGCGGTGCCGCACGCCGGCCGCGTGGGCGGGCCGCCCGGTGCTGAGCGTCGACTTCGACGCGCTGTGCGACACGCCGCGCCCCGCGCTATGGCTCGGCCTGGGGCTGGCGCTCGCCGGCGCCTTCGCGCTCGTCTGCGCCGCCGCCGGCCTGCTGCTCTACTTCCGCACCGAAGTCGCGTACCTGCTGCACCTGGCCAAGGTGCGCTCGCCCTCCGCCAAGGGGGAGGCCCTTCGCCGAGAGGCACGGTACGACGCCTTCATCTGCTACAGGTCGGTATCACCAACAGCAGTGCCTCTAACCGGGAGGTCCTGGGATTCGACGGTGGCAGGGGTTTGACACTAGCTACTCGTACAAAGCGAAGTCGAATTCTGCCTCTGCGGTGACTGGACGAGAATTCTAGTATCCGGCTGCTCTATTCGGTAGTTTTCCGTTGTTTCTCTCATCAACTTCAGGCGAATGCCGGAGCAGTATCTTAACAAACGGGCCACGGACTGCGCGCGATCTTCTCTTCGTCTCTAAGGGATAACAATAAGACAATGAAGAGAGAGGAAAAATCGCGCGCAGATCGTGACCCATTTGTTTAGGTACTGCTCCGGCATTCGTCTAGTATTGACTGTAGAAACCATGAACAACTACCAATCTGAGCAGCCGTCGGCTAAAATTCTCCTCCAGACAGCGGCTGAATTCGACCTACATATACATATATCTTTGTCGTCCGACCGTAGAAAATCCTATGATTTCCCGGACAGATGCACTTCAGTTACACCAGTTGATTCCCTGATCCACCTTAACCTTCTATACATGGGAATATCAATATAATATAGGGTAATCAAATAGGTTTCAAATAAGTACAAGTATTTCAAGAAAACTTGTTCATAAAACCTTTGATCGTAACTAATGAAATGTGTAATTATTTCATAAAAATCCTAGTCCCGCTTCTCGTTATAGTTCAGGGTTGTCCAACTGGCGGCCAGCGGTGCCATTTCCTGTGGCCCGTTTAAGGATCTTAGTCAAATGTTACATCCTTTGCAACCGTGTCGGGCGAGAACAGTGGGCATTTAGCGCACGCGCCCTGCCTGAGCCAACAACCCTTAATGTAAAAATTGGTTGACTATTTTAAGGATTTTTTCTAGTTCATTCAAAATTTCAAAAACAAAGTCGTCTCAAAGTGTTTCATTGCATTATGCACACTACGGCTTGATATCAGGCATGGTTCCCTGCCCACGCATTCTGAGCAGTCGGGCAAACTGCTGAGATTAACAAGGGTTAGAAGTGGTTTGCCATATTAATAAAGATATGGCACGCAACCGAAAAGGTTTCAGTTGTGGCCCTTGTGGCCTTGAAAGTTGGAACGTAGCGTATTACAAAGAGAAAGCCTGATAGTACGGTGACGTTTTGGACGACAGCGCCAAGAACCGGAAGTGGGTGCTGCGGCGGCTGGTGCCTCTCCTGGAGCAGCGTCCGGGCAGCTTCTCCGTTTGCCTCTTCGACCGGGACTTCCCGCTGGGCTCCCACATCGTCGCCAACATCGCCGACGCCATCGACCAGAGCAGGAAGGTCCTTCTCGTCCTCTCCCAACACTTCATCCAGAGCAAGGTGCGTAGAAACAAATTTGAACATTTTGAGCTTTTGTCAATCACAACTTGTGGCGACTTCATTGAAGTTATCGTGCAAATGAATAGAGATCAAGAACTCGCATTTAATGCATTATTTTTCACCATAATAATTAGTAGTAGAAATTGTAGTAGTACTATTTTCATTAAAGTACTTGGAATTATGAAATTCATAGAATTTTTTTCAAACTCCTTTTACATTTTAAGTTTTGAAGCTCAGTGTAAGAATATTTTATATAATGGTAACTTATTTGATATTGTATCTTTAAAACAATTTATACAAATTGTGTTCAAGATATTAGATTCGCAATTTTGAGTTACATTTTGAGAAAGATGAAAAGTTTTTGAAACTGCTATTGTAGTAATTTTTCTGAGCAGGTGACGTGGCGTAATCTAATTTGACGTCGTCTGGGGAACCTAAATGTCTAGATTTGCACCGCTGTCCTGGGATACATTTTTTAGCAGCCGATTAGGTTTTGGAACTAGAATGAGGGCCTATATTAAAAACACTACCTAAACTAAGCTTCTATTCTCCTTGAAAACAATATAATAGTTGCCGAATTGGGCTCTTATTCGTTACAAATAAGGATTACTCCATAATTTGCGGAAAGTTATTCAACCCACCTTCAAGGTCAAGTCTTCCCAGAGAGACGTCATTGGTCAACAGTGAACTCTGCACTCACCCACATTGACGTAGTTTCACACGTTTTATTTTTAGTGTACAAAGTGTACAAAGTTTATTTTTAGTGTACATTTTTATTATTTTAATATTTCCATACAATATTTTATTCTTTTAAAACTAACTAATACAATGAAAATAAAAATGCATTGAAAGTGGGATGTAGTGAGTTAAGTTAATAGCTTTTTTGCGTTCTCAAAACTGTTTAAATATTTTTTGTTACAATGATTACAAATAACAGTATGTTTTCAAGTATAACTAGATTAATTTTACACATCGCGATGTGGTTTCTCCGTTTTTCGTCATGTAACAAATCTCGCATTTAATTCTTTCATTCTGTATCGGTTCTAATTGCTGTGTTCAGCTTAAATCAAAAAAAGAAACTTAATGGAACATGAAATATAAAATAACTATTCTCAACGTCTCGCGCACTTTACTGAGAGACCACTTCATTCACCGCGCGTTCCCAACACAAGGAAAGGGAAATCTCTCAGTTCACTTCGCTCGTAACGCAATGCCATTTTCAAACGCGTCCGCCTTTACGACAGCGAAGGTATCGAGAAAAGGGCAATGAACGATATGTAAACAGAACGTCTGACACCTGATACCCATGCCATGCGCATATCAGCTCTCTTTTTATCAGAAGACCAACGTCACGCATTAGCTCTGTGATTTGAGTAAGATTACTCGCAATGACATTTTCCATTAGCCGCACTGGTGCGCGCATAGTGCGCACACTGCATTCTGCATAGTGCACACTCTGAAATTCGTTGTTCGGAGTTCCGTTTGATTTCGGGGTTCCGTTTGATTTCGGGGTTCCGTTTGATTTCGGGGTTCCATTTGATTTCGGGGTTCCATTTGATTTCGGGTTTCCCATTTTGATTTCGGGGTTCCATTTGGATTTCGGGTTCCATTTGATTTCGGGTTCCATTTGATTTCGGGCTTTAGATTCGGGTTCCATTTGATTTCGGTTCCTTTGATTCGGTTCCATATTTGATTTCGGGTTCCATTTGATTTGACGGGGTTCCATTTGATGCGGGTTCCATTTGAATGACGGGGTTCCTTTGATGACGGGTTCCATTTGATGACGGGGTTCCATTTGATTGACGGAGGTTCCATTTGATTGACGGGGTTCCATTTGATGACGGGTTCATTTGATGACGGGGTTCCATTTGATGACGGGGTTCCATTTGATGAGGGGTTTCATTTTGATACTTCATTGAAGAGGGCCTGATGGCGGGGTTCCATTTGATGACGGGGTTCCATTTGATTGACGGGTTCATTTGATTACGGGGTTCCATTTGATTACGGGATTCCATTCGACCGCTAGGGCGCACCAGTGCAAAGAAGCGCATGTTCCATTCGCACACTGACACGAAACCAGGGCGCACTCGGGGCGCCCTAACCTGCACTGAGGAGCTCGTCTGTGCCGTCCATTGCACCGGGCCATTTTGAGGTTAGGTACACAAGTTACGAATGTTGATTTGGATTCGTGGTGAAATTGTGAAGGCAATTTATCTTCTGTCACGCAGGGACACTTCAAACGAAGGAGTATATCAGGTTTTACAAGAAATGTCTTAAAATAGTTTTTGTGACTTACACAAAGCTTAAAAAATCAGATTGTTTTCCTAAAATTCAACCGTGAATAATTTCATGTTAACAAATCCGCGGCTATTTAGTAAACAAAGTGTAGGTATGTCTCAATTGCGAAACGCTGATAAAGTAAAAATAAAAATAGCGACTAATGCCCTTACAAAACCAGTCATACACTATATATTGCTAGAGATATGTTTCGCACGCGCTTACACACGCCAGCGGAAAAGCCGATGTTAATATATTTATGGTTGTCAATAACCATACAACTCTGCAGAAGCCTTTCGGTTTAAAATCTAGTGTCCTAAATCGATCACTGACAAATCTCGAAAAAATGAAATTTCGACAGATACTCGTTTGAAGTTTTTGCTGGTTAAAAAAAAGGAATCACACGTTAATAATTTATTAAATAAGGAGTACGAATTACCAAAAGAAATCATTCAAGTTATGTTAAAAATAATAATTAGTATAAAATTTAGGACAACAATCATAATGAAAAATTCTTATTTTTCGAGTTCTATCAGTGCGAGATAGACCAAGAACAGCTACCTATTATCTCACTGCACAGCGTACATGCACTGATTCACTTCCGTTGACGTTGCCCTACACTAGGTTGGGTTTCAGTGCAACGAATGGAGAACGCTCTTAGGGGTGAAGTTAGATTCTAAATATATCATCAAATCAATTTTTCACTCAGAGTCGTCTGCAACTTAATACCATGTTCGGTTTCGAATGTTTCCTTCAGACCCCTCACACTTAAGCTGTGTGAATACTTGTTTCTCATGTATGAGTTGTCGAGAGCCTCGCATTCTGCTGACCTCAGATCAGAGAAGCCCGCAAGTGTGTGGGTGACTAGTATATGGTCGAATGTATGCGAATCGGGACGTAAAGAGTAACGGGCTGATGGCTGAATAAAAGTTTTCGTAAAAAGAATATTATAACTTGTAATTCAATGCGCCAGGAAAGGCTATCCGCAGCGACATCAGAGGCTGATGAAAGTGCTGGCAAGAGGATCATGTAGGTAGTTCGAACTGTAGCTTGAAAACGCAAATTGCGTACTCACTACAATCACAACAGGTGTTGGAAGTGTAATCCTGTTCACTTGTTTACCAGTGATCTGCTTTCTACGCACCTCAATGCAATTTACAATAGGAGGCCTTGATTCGGCTCGTTGCGAAACAATTTTCGTGGCGCGCGTTAGAACCAATCGCAACGCAATGCTGGTGGGTACCTGACCGTGTGTGCAATGGTGCTTGTGCGAGCTGGAGGCACACGGTAGAGCCGATCGCAACGCAAGGCTGGTGGGCGCCTGGCTGTGTGTGCAGTGTGCAGAGGGAGCTGGAGGCTCGCGTTTAGAACCAGTCGATCGCAACGCTAGGCTGGTGGCGCCTGGCTGTGTATGCATGTGCCAGTGGAGCTGGAGAGGCGCGTTTAGAACCAGCGATCGCAACGCAAGGCTGGTGGGCCCTGGCTGTCTGTGCATGGTCCATGGGAAGCTGAGGGCGCGTTAGAAACCAGTCGATCGCAACGCAAGGCTGGTGGCGCCTGGCTGTGTTGCATGGAGCCAGTGGGAGCTGGAGAGGCGCGTTAGAACCATCATTGCAACGCAAGGCGGTGGGCGCCTGGCTGTTGTGCATTAGTTGTGCCAGAGGGAGCTGGAGCGCTCGCGTCTAAACCAGTCATCGGCAACGCTCAGGCTTGTGGACGCTGCAGGTCGATCGCGTGCGATCCGGCGTGCCAGTGGCGAACGGACGGAGCAGGCGGCAAGTACAACACCCAGAGAATGCGGCGAACGCCCATGCCTGTCCCTCGGCGTAGTTGCACCGCATCGCCTGGCAGGTCGTCGAGCGACGCTGAAGAGGCGCCGTTAGACCAGGTCGATGCAACGCAGGCCTGCGTGGGGCGGCCTGGCTGCGTGTGCTCAGCCTTGTGGTGCAAGGCAGCTGGAGGCTCGCGTTAAACCAGTCCCGATCGCACTCAAAAACCAACGGGCTGTCACTGGGGTCGGTCTCCCGCGCGGCCGCTGCCGTGGCAGTCCCTGCGCTGGTACAGAGACTGGAGCTCGCGTCCAACGACAACCACCGATCGCAACGCAGCTGTGCCGCCCCATCGGACATGGTAAAATCCGCCATGTGCCAGGGAACTGGAGAGCCGTAGAACCAGTCAATCGCAAACGGTAGGCTGGCTCCGGTGCTGTATGGTCAGTGGTGCCAGTGGACTGGAGAGAGGCGCGCTACCTAAACCAGTCGTATTGCATACAGCTGGAAATTGAATAAGTTTCTAAATGGAAGCGCGCGCCAAATTTTAGGCTGTCGAGGTGCGGCCATCCTAAGCTGGTACAACACGGCCCAGCTAGGAGCTCGCATAACAGACATAAAAAGACCAAGAATCCTAAGATCGCAAAAAAAATCACAATACGTTATGCGCCAACTGCATGGCGTAGAGTTGCAGTCTGGACCAACTGAGCTCTGCTCCGTACTTTCCTTAGACCACCAGGTCACCAGTGAACTCGACCAACCACAACAAAGCTGGTGGCGCTGGCTGTATGTGCCGAACTACCGCCGGATTTTCGGTTGCTGGAGCTGGAACTAGGAGAGGTAAAAATGTAGAAAAAGGTACGCTAGTTTTAAGAGAGCAGTTCGATGCGCAGACTGTTCGTAGGTGCATATTCGTGCCGTCTCCTTGCCCTGTATAAGTTTTCTAGTGAAATTAAGTGGTGCCAAGTTGAGCTGAGAGGCGCTTAGAACCAAATCGGATTGCAACGCAAGGCTGAGTGGGCGCCTGGCTGCTGTGTTGCAGTGTCCAGTAGGAGCTGGAGCGCGCGTCATCGCAACGCAAGGCTGGTGGCGCCTTGGCTGTGCTGTGCAGGGGTGTGCCCGTTGGCGAGCTTGGAGGGGCGCGTTAGGAACGCAGTCGATCGCAAGCAAGAGCTGGTGGGCGCGCTGGCTGTTTGTGCAGTGGTGCCAGTGGGAGCTGGAAGCTGCGCCAGCACAGAAGCTGCTGAGCGAGGACCCGCCTGCATGCGTGCTGCTGGCTTGATGAGCCGCTGGAGCGCCGGGCGGCTGCCGCGCCTTGCCTGCGCTCCTGCCTGGACACGCGCCCGTGGGCGCGCCGCGCCGAGACGCGCCTGCGTTGGCCGCGGCGCGACGCAGTTGCGGCGCGCGCTCGGCCCCCGCCCCCGCCCCAGCCAGCCACCCACACACGAGAGCGCCTTGCACTTGTAACTCAGGTCTGTGATTTCAAAATAACTGCCTTTTTTATCATCCATTTGTTTGTTTACCGGCGTAGATGGCTCATTGATGTCACTGCAATGACTCTGGCCGGGATCTGCTAGGGTTTCACTCCCAATTTGGCGCTCCCAAGAGTTCGACTCTAGCTACAGAGCTGGGCCGAGTTCAGCCGCTGCCTAAAGAATTCTAGCGGCCAGCTGTTCTTATCGGTAGTTTACCGCGAACCCGTGTTTACCGTGAGCCGATCAACACCAGTCAAATGCCGGAGCACTACCCAACCAAATGGTCCACCGACCGCACGCGATCTTTCCTTCCCCGTTCTTGGCCGATTTTCACCACTTGTTCACACACACACACACACACACACACACACGCGCGCGCGCGCGCGCGCGCGTACATGCAATACATTACCACACACAGAGAGAGACCAGTCGAGAGCTGGTGGAAAATACCTCATTGGGGAAAGCCTCGCTACCAGACGTGTAGATCGACGTCCGATCTCATCTAGCGAGTGAAGCCACCTTCCGCGATAAAACATGCACTCCACTTACTGGACTAATGACTTTAGGAAATGGTCTCCCAGAAACACTAATATATCAATCATTTGCTTATTCCGTTTATGCAAAAATCAATTCAATTGTTTTTATGATTTTGTCCGAGGGTAAATCCGAAACTAAAAATCCGTACTAAACCGATTTTTATGAAGTTTTCGGTGAAACTTGAAAGTATTTTGGCAGACATAACTTAAGCTATATTTTTTCAAATTAGGTATAATTTTCTAACACACAAAGAACAACCTCTACATTGCTATGCATTTATAACAACTATGCATTTATAGTTTTATTTCAATTTCAAAGAAACTGTAGATTAACATTAAAACCATAGAATGGTTACTCTCTACATGAGGCATAGTGAAACTACCCCATCTCCTCTTCTTCTTCTTCTTCTTACAGTGAAATTTAAGTGTATGGTCTATGAATTTTTTCGCTAATAGCTCGAAAATAATTAATTTATCTACCAAAGGCAATAAAATGACGTTTTTGAATGTCTTTAAAATTCCTTATTAAATGTTTTGTAATTCTTTTGAACACTGCAATTATGTTTTGGCGGATGGAATATCAGAAATGTTTCTGAGACGTAGCCGGGAATATGCAACAATTCATCTGTAGTATTTCTTGCTGTCTATAGCATCAATGATCATAGCAAAGGAGGTAGTGGTAGGGCGGCACTGGTGTGAGAGCAGACAGGTTGGGAGACGTCATACACTCTTTCTTGATTTCTTGATTACTTTACCTGGCTAATAGACAATTGTGAATAAATACCAATGCTAAGCAGTATAGTACTTCAGCTGGTACGGGATAATAACTCAGCCTGGAATTTGAAAACTCAAGAAAACGTGTACACATTGCACTTCTACCCATACAATGTCATCCACTTCTTATGGTCATATTTATAAAAGTTTTGCGATATAATACATTGTTTAATTATGTGACGATGATCTAAGGACCTCTCGTCTAATAATAGAATTAAAAGGGTTATACCCGTCGCAGATTAAATAGTTGCTCAAGCGCAGGTTTTGTAGTGTAGCGGTATTAAGTTGATTCAATGACAGAGAGACCTTGCGCCAACAAACATTAGCATTTATTCTACTTATTTCTACCATTCTAATGCAACAACAAAATATTTGATGGTGTTAACATGAAAATTATAAATCCCAACAACATGTACACCAATAATTTACATTACCACCAAAAAACTACATAGAATTGCTCATCCCTTGTAAATTATAAACGTAACACCAAGTAACAAATATTTGATGTTCTAATCACTACAAATTTACAGATTATACATTGATGTCCAACTGATATGAATGTCATAAGTACAAAAAACTCCTTTACTATTGCTGAAAAAACAGGATACAAACCAAAGTCAAATTTCTATTTGAATCATACCGTTTCTGTTTATCAGAAAGGGTAATCTTACCGTAATGATGAAGTTAGCACATGGGCGGTAGGTGAATCGCTGGATTCCATAAAAAAACGTGAAAGCCTCGCAGCTGCTGTACAAAACTGTGGCCGCGGTCTCCGGCTCAAAAAGAGTCGCACTTCCACACAATGGGGTTGCACTTCAGTAGAACCAAACTATCAATGAAACTTTTCGAGATTTGTGAGAATGCGAAATGCTAAGATGCTTCAGAGTTCTGCCGTACAAAGCAGAGCCTCGTGGCTTCCTTAGAAAAAAATAAATTCCGTGGTGGTAGCAGATATCGTGTGGTAATCCATAATATGGTAAAGGAAATAATCTCCACAAAAGGTTTAATAATTTTTATTAATTTTTATCCAGATTTAATTTTCGGGAAAACACGTTTTCTATCATCAGTGGGTCTTGCCCAAGCAACGTGGATCACCCATTAATGTTCACAACATGGTCAAAAAAATGAACAAAGAAAACATTCATGGGTGATCCACGTTGCTTGGGCAATATCCACCGGAGATAGGAAAAGTGTTTTCCGGAAAGTTAACTCTGGATAATAATTAATAAAAATGTTTAAATCTTTTGTGGAGATTATTTCCTTTACCATATTATTGCTTTGAAAACACTAGGAATCGCCTTGCACGGGTTCGGGCGAACCACTTCTTAAAAGCACACTGAGATCCGAACACCACGTCGTCACAAAACGTTCTGCTGCCGGAACTACTCAAAGAGGAGACGCGGGACCCGTTCGCAAACGATTTCGTTCACCTGGTGGTTCAGAAACGTCATGGCGTTCCTACTCGTTCCCCGCTCAATTCGAACGACTTCGAACATCGTGACTGCAGATCTTTAAGTTATTAAAATCCAGATACTACTAAATAACTACATTTTTGGCAAGTACATAACTGTTCATTCCACTTTCCTTCACTTCAACAATAGACACAGATATATCGCTAGCTGTACCCTTTCCACAAATTTCTAAAATAATTTGAGGAAATTCGGATTCCACATCTGCAATGCTAGTAGTAATTTAATTTTAATGTAGGTAATGTCAACAAACATATGAATGCGTGAAAACCAGAACGGTATAATTGACATTTTAAACATTCTGAGAAAAAACGTATTTATTTCGGGCTATATTTTACTGGCTACGTATTTTCGTTCTTTTAATGAACAATGGAAATGCCCTGGTTTTAATGATGAAACAAAGCCCCACGACTTTACAGTAATATTGACTTAAATAAATATATTTCTTTTAAATTATAGAATTTCACTTGCACCGTTGTAGTTTCCACCCATTCATATGTAGAGTTAACTGGAATGGAAACTGTACTCTGTACATACCATAAAAAGAAGTGTTATCGAAATAGGTTTCAACGACGGACAATGAAGGTCAACATTCATTAAATTAAGTATGTAAATAACGGAAAGTTAATGGTAGTGGTAATGGTAAATAGACAGGGGAAATAGTGTGAACTTTTTTCAGTAAATCTATTATGGGCACGTGAGAAATTTCCATGAATATAATTAAAATTAGTAAATTACAGGGAGACCAGATATCACTGGGTAAAGAGTGTGAGATGAAGATAGGTGATTGGAACCAGGAGAATCATGCACATTAAACAAGAAGTGGATAGACGCAAACGTTACAAAGAAGGAACGAGTTTTGAAACAATACTGCGCATCAAGAAAACAAGTGAGTGGCGTGTATTACGAACTACCGGAACAGAATAGCTCGAACTGTTGGCGCGGGCGGTGTCTAGTCAAAATAGTCAAAAAAGTTCGGTTATGAGCAGACGCATGTGATAAAAGCAAGACGTACAGAGATGTGACCGCGTATAACTGTAGTGGAGGAAATAATTTTCGAATGGTGAATATCAAAATTTTCGAGAATTAAGGGACATGAATTCTACTGAACAGGACGACGACAACACGTGGAACAACATTTCTGAGGGTCGTAGAGAACGCTGAAAACCATCGAACACGTATGCGGAGGGACGAAGAAGGAAGTGAAAACTAAATATTATTTACAATACGAAGACCAAATCGTGTCATTAGATATAAGTGTACATAAACTTAACAATAGTAAGGTAACATGGACATGTATGAATGGGAAAATTGAAGAGCGAATATTGTGAATGAAGTGTAAAGGAGAAAATCTGTCGCGGAACGATTTTTGTGTTTTTGTGAAGTGTATTGTATTGAATTGCTTTTGTAAGCTAAGTAATGAGAATCCAAATGATTTTATATAATGTAGAAAAACGAATCTGTTTTGATTTCGTAAAGGTTGCTAGAATTCCTATAGTTCAAAAACCTATAAAAGAAAGGGATTCCTTACGTAAAGTTTTGTGGCCGTGATTCCGTATGAACGGCTCTGTCAAACAATAAAATATATTCTCTGTGTTGGATATCCTGGTATAACATATGGGCTATTGTTTATTAAAAAAAATAAAAAAATTGAGGATATTAAAAAAATAGTTTGTTAAATGGATCCACGGAATAAAGCAAATAAAAACACCAGATAATTATTAAAATAATACACAGTTCAAAGGGGATTCATACCAGATGGAATGCTCAACGTGGGGCTAAGTTATTATTTAAAAGTAATAATATTATTTATATTATTAGGTATCTTTTGATTGTCAAATGTCAATGTACCTGAAGATGGCGAACAGTGATATAACAAATCACTGAAACGTTGTATGCCAAGACTTAGTTGTGAAATAAAACAACTTTCCTCATTTTTATTTACTGAATTCTAATCTTTAACCTGATGGAACTTTTTGTGTTAATATTTGTATTATTACTTGTAATTTAATAAATTAATTCAGTGTTCAAAGGACATCTATTTCAATACTTCGCTTCATTATTAAAAGTAACGATATTACAGTAAAGACAATGTACTAAAATGTGCATATAAACTCATTTTACTTCACTAAAAGTAATAATACATTAACCAGCGGGGAATGAATTATTACTTTTAAAGTAAATATAATGGCAATTTATATTTGCTACTAATTTTTCAGTGCAAAATTTGCCTCGCTAGATACATTTTTGAAGTAAGTTTGTCCAAAAATAATATTTAAAAGGAACATATGAGTTGGTAAGATTGATTCTCAGCCAAAGATCACAAGTCTGAATATTATCACATAATACTTGTATAAGTAATTGATTATGTAATTATATATAATAAATATATATGTATTTATATAGTAAGCAAAAAATTCAATTTATTTACTATTATTTAAACTAAACAATTAATATATAAAAATAAATGTTTTTTGTCTACATAATAAAAAGGTGTTTTCAATTATCAGAAAGCAAAAAGTAAAATACAATTTTCTTCTTGAAATATGAGCTTCCGTTGGAAATTCGTTGTCGCAACCATGCAGGGCTGGAAGGTTAGCTTTCCACTTCCAGTCAGTCCATGATGGAGAGAGAAAGAGAGTTAGTCCGGCGCCCCGACCTTTGCTCGTTCTGCGCAACAATAGTTTACGTCACGAATCATGCTACTACAACAAACAACACAAACCAGACGCTGACCGCCATGTTGCATGGAGAGCGAGAACTCTTGAGAAACATCTTGAAAGTGAAATAAAGTGGCAATTTTCAACAGAAAATAACACGATGAAGGAGTAATTGAAACAAAAGATGCAATATTTAAAAAAAATTGCTCCATAATATATGTTTCAAAGACGCGTGGTAAGGTGATAATTTTGGTATCTGTCTGCTTTCAAAAAATTCCCGCTAATATTGTATCGCAAACTGGTGCCTACAGCTCTTTGGCTGACGTCAGATACGATGCGCAGTAGTCTTTCCATTACGAGTCAATCCGTCTTCTTGTCACCGACGGCCGGCGTGGCGGGCCGCGGCGAGGCCACGGGAGAGGTCGTGGGCGGAGCAGCGACGCGCAGCCAGCGGATGGCCACCTCCACCAAGAAGACCGCCCCGGCCGCCGCCAGGCCCACCAGCAGCGCGCCCCCCGCCACGCGCAGCTCCTCCATGCCCACCTGCCCAACACGCAGCCCGGCAGTTACATATACACGTTCTACCAGGGGGGTTTCTCCCCGGGGTGGGCGCCTAGGAGTTAGGCCCTATCCGCATCTCCGCAAAAGCACAAGTACACCGACAGGCTGGTTTCCGGATCCCGCCTTAACGCAGTTTAACCTCCCGGTAACCTTCCCGTTCACTGACTAGGTCGGACCGTCCTCTCAGCTCTGGGCTACTGGCTTTCCAGGTCGATGCCGGAGTTGAAACTATGCGCTTCGCACAATACACCGGGTCATGTTCCTCCTCTATGCGTACAGTGGCGGACCATTAGCTTGACGAAGCCAAGTGCCCAACTGGAAGACCAGAGGTCGAATCCCTGAGAGCTCGGAGCTAATGACGTGAGTACCTTCGGAATCTACGCAACAAAACAGCGAGGTTCAGCGACGTTTTATAAGAGAGTTTGAGATCCGCCGCAAGCTGCACAGAGGATGCAGGATAATGAACCCCACACCCAATCCCGCCCAAAGGTCGGTGGAAAAACCACCTACTCACTCCCTCCACATTGAGACTAACGACGTGAGTACCGCCAAAACCTAGGCACCCTGACACGGGGGTTCATGCTCCCCGTCTGGACTTTTCTACATGGGACTAGGCCAGCCGCCCTGCTGCACAGAGATGCTGGCTAACGAACCTCATGCCCAATCCCGCGAAGTTTGGAGGAAAGACACCTACTCACTGCCTCCGCCTTGAAGCTAACGACGTGAGTACCGCCAAAACCTAGGCACCTTGACACGGGGGTTCATGTTCCCCGTCTGGACTATTCTACATGGGACTAGACCAGCCGCCCTGCTGCACAGAGGATGCTGGCTAACGAGCCTCCTGCCCAATCCCGCCCAAAGATCGGTGGCAACCCACCTACTCACTGCCTCCACCTTGACGCTATCAACGTGAGTGCAGCCAGTACCAAGGAAACCTGACAGGGGTACTCAGACTTTTTTATATATGAGTTTGAGAACCACTACGAAAGGCGCAGACGTTGCAGGCTAATGTATCTTACGCCCAAGCCCGCTCAAAGGTGAGTGTCAAGCCATCAATCCGAGAGAAGCAGTGTCGCACTTGCCTCGCCCGGGTCGAGGTCGGAGGTCAGCGGCGGCTTGCCGGTAACGTTGCGCAGGTGGTCGCGGAACCACTTGTCGGCCACGCCCGCCTGCAGCAGACGCGCCACCAGCGCGG